TAATCTTCTTTTGCTTCAGGAAAATTACGACCAATTGAACAAATCATTCGATGATAATGACCACTCTTGGACAGCTTTGACGTTGAAGGTAGGGCGTTTCTTGTGTTTGACAATCAATTTGAATGATTCAGTGATATGAACTTTACTTTCTAACAATTTACAACCTCATTTCCTTTGATTTTGAAATACCGCTTCGTGTTTGTGCAAAGAAATTAGCATTATACTATCCAGCAAATTGGCTTCTATTTCCTTGTGACTTCATTTTTGGGGCATTTTCAGATGTGCAGTGCTCTTGATACTGCTAGTAAACTGGTTGAATCAACCAACTCAAATTCGAGATTTTTGTTGGAGAAGATTGTGGAGCTTGAACAGGTTTTGGAAAAGGGGGATTCTACAAGAGAGGCGGCCATGGCCATCCAAACCAGTTTTAGCTCTCAAGTTGCTCAGGACTCCATTTCTTCTCAGAGTCAAGGTTAGCATAAGCTTATACATTTAAGGGGTTTCTCATGTTTGTTGATGCATTATGGAAATCTTCTCTTGAGAAATACTCGTTTGAGCAGTTGCCATATTCATTGCTTTGATTCATGCAGTTTGATTTCTTATGCAGTTGGTGTAGTCGAGATAAATCTGAGTTTTAATTATTTGTAATCATATTATGATTGGATTAGATTTAGTAGTTCAAGTAAATAGAATAAGGATGGAATGTATGGTTGAGAGACATATGGGGTTCAAAGCTTAGTCAGTTGGAACATATAAGACATAGGTTACAGATGTTATTATGCTCATTGCAATGATAGAGTTTAGATTAAATTACAAGTTTAGTTCTTGAACTTTTGTTTTTGTTTTCTTTGTTTTTGTACTTTAATCAAAGGTGTTTCATAGGTTCACAAACACTTAATTTTGTCTAATAGGTCTATATTCTATAAAAATTTGATATCGAGATTGGGAATGATATGGGGATGAAAATGGCTCATGATCTATATCTAGAAGAGTTTATTCTCAATCTCAATATCAAATCATTAACGGACGATATCGATATCTAGAACCATGATTTAATATTGAGAATAAAGAATCATTGATTCAAGATGAAGAATCAAGACTTAATGATTTGATATCAAGATGGACACTGATTATTTGATAGTGAGATAGAGACTACGAAATTGAATGAGAATGCATGAATATGTCATTTGCCTGGTAACTATATGTTTATTTATAGATTTTTTTTATTATCATGGAGAACTGAAATGATATAGGCTTTCAAGATCATCGAAACATGTTATGTGAGATCCCACATCGGTTGGGGAGGAGAACGAAACATTCTTTATCAGGGTGTGGAAACCTCTCTCTAGCAGATGCGTTTTAAAAACCTTTAGGGGAAGCCCGAAAGTGAAAACCCAAAGAGGACAATATATGCTAGCGGCGGGCTTGGGCTATTACAAATGGTATCGGAGCCAGACATGGGGTGATGTGCCAGTGAGGAGGCCGAGCCTCGAAGGAGGTGGAAACGAGGCGGTGTGCTAGCAAGGACGTTAGGCCCCGAAGGGAGGTGGATTAAGGGGTCCCACATCGATTGGAGAAGGGAATGAGTGTCAGCGTGGACGCTGGACCCTGAAGGGGGGGTGGATTGTGAGATCTCACATTGGTTGGGGAGGAGAACGAAGCATTTTTTATAATGGTGTGAAAACTTCTCCCTAGCAGACACGTTTTAAAAACCTTGAGGGGAAGCCCGACAGTATCTGCTAGCGGTGGGCTTGAATGGTTACATATTACTTCTGCCCAAATCACCAGTTTGCCACGTATTAAACAGGTAAACTAGTTAATAAAGATGAAGCTCTTCACACTCAGCTTGATATGTTCAACAGAGCTATATTTGAAAAATTCGTTAACTTGAACTTGGTAATCAACCGTTCATTGATACATGAAATCCTCTCGTGGGAGGTTGTCAACGAGATAAGAGATGTGAGACCTTCGAACCGAGGGGTACCAAAGTGGTGTTCTCACAGACTTTCGTTGACAAGTTATTGTATAGGGACATGAAGGACTCAGAGTACTTCAACAAATTGGATTAGGGGTACAATCATTTGGGAGAGGGTTTTGAAGAGCAGAGAGTTCTGGTGGGCAGAATTGGTGCATACAAGTACTTCCCTTTAGTTTCAGTCGTCTGGTTATGATATTATTACGTCTCAAATCTCAAGCCCAAAAGAGACATCACTTACACCAGGACAATGTATGCAGCAAAATTTGAACCACATGCCTTCACCAAATGATGAGCCTCCAACAATCAATGTCCTGGACTTTGAACAACCTTCTGTTGCTTCTCATGCACCCTCAAGTTCACAAGCCTCCCTACAGATCTCCACGGGTGGGGTCGAGGAAGGCCCTTCCCCGTCTCCCCTCTTATTTCAATCCCCATCTTAACTACTACTATTACAACTAGATTGTCGGATAATGAGATGTAAATTGTCAGATCTCATATTGGCTGAAGAGGGGAACGAAACATTCCTTACAAGAGTTTAGAAACCTCTCCCTAACAGACACGTTGAGGCGGACGACGATACGTAATAGGCCAAAGTGGACAATACTACTAACGGTGAGCTTGAGCTGTTACAGTTGGAGAGGAGAACGAAACATTTCTTGCAAGGGTGTGGAAACCTCTTCTTAGTAGACGCGTTTTAAAACCTTGAGGGAAAGCTTGAAGAAAAAAAACTAAAAAATGACAATATCTACTAGCGTTGAACTTAGACTTCTATATTAATGAACAAAGATTTGGAATATCATGTATGCAAGTTGAATCATACAAGCATCTCTAACGCTATTTCGGTATGTAGATCAATAATGAATTTTTGTCGTTTCTTGCAATGAAGGGCATAGTTGTGGAACTATGCCCAAATTTCTAAATTTGTAAAAATATCTACACATAATGGATTACAATAATTCCATCATCTTTAATATATGTATTAAAGAATAGTAAAAAAAAATGTCATGATTGTCCTTTTCGACCATGGGAAAGAAAAAGAAACATAAGCTTGAACTTGAAGCAACAAGGGTGGATGAAAACTTAGGAAATATAAGTAATTATAAGGTTTGAATAATGTGACAAGACACTCATTTTCTTTGGTTTGTTTTTTTTGGAAACTATAAGGTAATAAATGTTCGCATTAAAATTCCCACACGCCTTTAAAATAAAAATAAATAAAAGTGACTATTTTTTCCCAACTTAGATTCTCTTCCTTGCTCAAAATTTGAAAAAATAAACGTCAAAATTGTATAATTAAGTATTTATTTCTATTTTAACTTTTAAAATAGATCATTAACATATTTAATAATTAATTTATTAGATATAAAATTGAATGTGTGTCGAATAGAATATTAAACTTTTGATTTTATGTTTAATAGGTTCAAGAACTTGCAACACAGAATCGAAAAATTAGACACTTATCAAATACGTTTTTGTCTTAAAATTAGATGTATTAGACCGAATAAATTTCAAGGACGTAATAAACACATGGTTAAATTAATGTTCACGTTCAATAATACCCTTAATATTCTAAAAAAATCTATAATTATTCTTTTACCCTTAATATTTTTTTTAAAAAAATCTATAATATATCCTTAAACTTTAAAAAAAAAAATCCTTCCTATTTTAAAAATATGCTTATTTGACCTATAAAGGTTGTATTTTTAGGGTTTGATGGGTAAATTTGAAAAACAGAGCCATAGCTGTCTATCTACCTTCAACTAATCCTTAATTAAAATTTGTAATTTAAATATTTTAGAGTCCCAAAGATTAGGTAACCTAATTCATTTTTAAGATTCTAAGCCCCAAATAATTTGCACTTTCTTTGACTTTTCACTACCCCAATTTTTTTTTTTAATTTAAAAAAAAAAACTTTTTAAAAGTTGGAAATTTTAAATTTAATTTGTTGTACAATACCCCTTTTTCTTTGTATTTATATATTTATACTTTATAATAAAGCTAACAAGATTTACTCTCTTGCTTTGCTTTTGTAACCTCTTTATTACATGCACATCGTAGGATATCATTTTTTGACTTTATCATAAAGTATGAACTTTTTATTTTACGAATGCAGCGTTATACTAAAATAAAATAAACGTCACCGCTACTAAGAACGGAAAAGGGGATTGCTTGTTATGAACTGAACTGGGACGAAATCTAGATGACGTGCGTGCCACCTTTTTAACGTTCTATTGAGTATCACGTTACCTTCTTGCATACATTAACTTTTACCAACTTTTTCACGAGTGAGAGATACTCGTTCTTAAAAAGATCATTTTTTAAAAAAAGACGGGAGAAACCCATAACATAATAATGTGCCCTAAAACATTGAAAAACTAACCCTTTTTCTTGAGAAATGGTACGAGTTTTAAATGAAGCTCATTGTAAGGCTAACCACAAACATAAAAAGAAACCTACAGCAATGAATTGAGCCATTAAAACTTTTCTATATTAATTAAAAAAACATTTGTCAAAAAGTTGATAATAAAGAGAAGGAAGCTACTTTTAGGAACGGGTTTAAGCTGCAATGATCACTTAACGAGTTATTTTGATAGTCAAATGTAGTCGAGTTTGTCTCATAGTTATCGGTGAGAATAGTATAGATACACACAAATTAAAAAAAAAGACGGTTGAAAACATGGGAATTTCCAAAAAAAACAACGATAAACTATTTACTATCGTCGTCAATCCTAGATCGTTATACCGCATTCATTGCATCTTAATAAACAACATTTTAGCTTTACTATAATGAAGGGATGAGGACGAAAAGCTCCAATCACACAAAGAGAGAGATTTAAGGAGATGAGAGATGTCATCTCGACAGTCATGTTACTCATGTCGGAAGTGACATGGCAATGGAAAATGGGAATAGATGCGACTGGTTGCTTCTTCTAGCCAATGAAATGTTGCCAAGTCATCCCCTCCTCCACGTGGCTTGGATCTTATCAGTTATGATGATGCAGACAAATCAAAGCAGAGAGAGTCATGAAAGATTAAGCTTCCATTGATATACAAGGGAAGGTCGGGGGTTGAGTTTATGTACATGTTAGCTTGTGACACCATGAAAACGCTCAAAACAAGGCAAAAAAACAGAGCTCCCCGCAGCCTCTAATGAGCTCTTTGCTCACCTGGGGGGGGCTAGCTAAGCACACTCAAGATTACTCATAATTTACACTTCTCTAAACGCCTATATCACAAAACTTCCCTTTCATTCTGTTCTGAACAGCCTTCACTGCAGCTACTCGAGCAGCATTGGCCGCCCTGTTTGCAGCCACGACCGCTTTGTTTACTTCCCCGTCCACTGGACTGATCTTTATCGCATTCGCCGCTGTCTTTCGAGCTGCCTAGTCGGGTCGATTGTAAATGAAATCAGCATAAGGTAAATGAGCACAAAACAAGAGGAATGTGGTTGGTTGGTTGGTTTACCTGGACTGCTGCAAGGACTAAGTCAGTAAGAGGGGGCAGAGGGTGCTTGAGATGGCCTGCATCCCATTCGCCGCATCGACTACTCTCGATGTTTCGGAAAGTGTACATACCGAAGCCTTGCTTACGTCCTTCGTGCCATGACCCTTCGTAACAATGGCCATTGGCAAAATGATACACTCCAAATCCATGGATTTTGTCCCCAAAATACTCACCTGCATATCTATCTCCATTCCTGCATTACACACCAATCGTCCAAACCAAATTGAGAGGGTTCCCTGAAAATAACCCATAGGTCCCCTCATTCAATGGGCTAACAACTCATAAGACAATCAATCTAAAGAGTAACAGATTCAATCTCACCGTGTTAAAACGGATACGTTAGGGAGAGGTTTCCACATCTTTATAAGGAATGCTTCATTCTCCTCTCCAACTGAGGGGATCTCACAATTCACCCCCTATGGGGGTCCAACGTCCTCGTTGGCACCGCTCGCTGTCACTAGTAGACATTGTCCGTTTTGGTCTGTTACGCATCGTCTATTAGGGAGAAGTTTTCACACCCTTATAAAGAATGCTTCGTTCTCCTCTCTAATTGAGGGGATCTCACAATCCACCCCCTATGGGGGTCTAACATCCTCGTTGGCACACTGCTCGCTGTCTAGCTCTGATACCATTTGTAACAGCTCAAGTCCACCACTAGCAGACATTGTCCGTTTTGGTCTATTAGAGAGAAGTTTTCACACACTTATAGGAATGCTTCGTTCTTCTCTCCCACCAACGTGGGATCTCACATAAACTGGGCAGTGGCCCAATTTTGAGAAACTGCATTAGCTGCAACCAATTCAGAGATATCTATCACTATAGTATTGAATTCAACAGCCACCACCAGATCCAATCCAGAATGAATGAACACAAGCATCTAAGATCATGAACGAAATAATTGATACCCAACAAAAGTTCCTAAGACAAATCAACGTCAAGCACAAACAATGGCAGATCAAACAAACAGTGTAAAGCTCAAAGGATTCACCTAAAATGGTAGCAGCCAAGGCCATGCTTAACGCCATACTTGAACTCGCCCACATAACAGCTCCCATCAGAGCAGGTCTGCATACCAATGCCATGGCTCTGTCCATTAAACCATTCCCCTGCATAAGAATCCCCTGTATAAAACCTATAAACCCCAAATCCATGCCGCAACCCCTGCCTGTACTGCCCTCTGTACCGGCTCCCTCTCGCCCAGCTCTCAATGCCATACCCATCATATCGACCATCGATCCAATCTCCCTCGTACCTTCCATTAGCGAAGTAATTATAAACCCCACTTCCATTGCACTTCCCTTTATGAAACTCGCCCTCATAGAAGTCGCCATTACTGTAAAACTCAACCCCTTCTCTTATGATCTGCCGCTTCTTCTTGGCGCTCAAATCCGAGTTCGGACTTCCAATAAACCACTTCACAGGCTTCACATTGGCGCTCGAAAACCCAAATCGCCGCGCATTGCCGTCCCACGATTGTTTCAAAATCGAACCCATTTGATGGATTAAGCCCTTGTTCTTGTTCGCAAAGAAGAGCGCAATCGCTACAAAAATCAACGCCAGGAGAAGATTCTCCGAAGTCGCAATCTCTTCCTTCCGCTTGTAAAAGAAGAAACAGAATGAAGAAATGGAGAACAGAGTGAAACAAGCAAGAAATGCCAAACCCAAAACAGGGTTAACAAAATAAGCCCTCGCCGATGACCGGCTCCGTCGAAGTAACTTATTCTTTCGATTCCGTTCGACGTTTTCCGATTCGATTACATCCTCATCGGTAACCGATGACAAACTCTGAATCGATCGGACGGTGGGGGATGAACGGAGAAGCGAAGATTGGGTTCTCGTAAGTTTCGCCGGATTTTTCTGGCCGTCCATTGACAATACGTCCCGCCGGAAAACCCAGTTCCCAGTATCAAACAGATCCTTCCCTCTTTAAGCTCTGTATCTCGAGATTCTTCTAATAACCAAAGCGATTTCAGAAGTCGCCGTCAGCAACATCTCCGGCGACGGCAAACGATCAGAGAAATGGCGCAAATTAGCGAAAGAACTGAAAGAAACTGAACGAAATTCAGAGAAGGGTTATTAGAGTAACAATCCCTTTGCTTGAAAGATCAAAAGAACAGCGAATTAAGAAGAGAGAGAAAGAAGAAGAACGTGCTTTAGAGAGAGAGAGAGGGGGAGAGGATTAAGGGGGCGGGTTTAGAAGGATTTTTATTGTTGGAATGAAAGGAGGGAGCCAGATTCAAGTACAGCCGTCTGATGGGAATCTAACGGACTGGGATTTGGAAACAATATTGGCCGTTGGATGGAGCCCGATGTTGCCGGGAAGATATGGTCGTCGGATCAAGATTCGGTCTTCTTTTTCACTTTAGTGTGACAGGTGTGGCACGTGCCACCTGTCTTTTTAACAAAACATTCAATTCTTAAACGGAAATTATCCCATGTACTCTGTGCCTCATTTGACCATTCATCGTAAGTCTTTTTCCAACGCTATTCACCGTTGATTTCTATATCTGACATGTGGGACCACTTTTGAACGGCTCTGATTCTGTGAAATGTGGGCCCTGCCAGAGGCAAAATTAAGGTTTTTACCCTATGCGCTGTATTCATGTTTTACCGCGCTAAAAATTCATTGATATTTTCTATTTTCTACCGTTTTTTTTTAATTTTTATTATCATAAATAAACTACAAAATTAATTCTCTAAGTTCCTATTTAAATATATTTTTTTAATTTTAAAATTTCTAAACATATTCCAGATAAAAAATTAAATTTTTAATAAATTTCAACCCATTCGATATGGATTCGAAAGTCCAGTAATAATTCAATGATGTCCAGTAAAAAAAAATTCCCTTGTCTAACCTCGTGTCAAAAGATCAATTACGATAGGAACGAGATCGAGTACCCTTTTGAATGGAATAGGATTACAATATATGATTAGATATATTATGGAGATGGGACCTATGGTTGATTTCCGTACCAATCTTAATCAGATTAGACTTATATGTTATGATTCTCGTTAAATGATTATAATTTTAAATATACCTTTAGCTGAAAGCTGGTGTTAAAATCTGGATAGAAAATATTGATATAAGGTTGATTTTGATGGATATTTTTAGAAAATTTTAAAATAAAGAAATTAATAAATATTATATGTGTTTTCTAAAAATATTTAATAATATATATTTTGTTTTATTAAATTAATTGGTTAAATTAAAAAATTGATATGAGAAATTTTAAAATTAGTTTTTTTTTTAATTAGAATTTTGTCTTTATTGTTTCGTGTATTTTCCAATAATTATTTTCCAGGATTTATGAAATTATAAAAATAAAATTTAAAATTTTAAGAGTCTAAATTCTATATTTCTTTAAATAAAACCAAATTTATAATTAACTAAATTATTGTGTGCATTTCATGGGGAGTTAGCCCATAGGCCCCATACTGCAATCACATGAGCCCAAAAATTATCAAGCCCAAACTTGTAGGCCCATTAAGAAATAAGATTAGTACGTGGCATGTCTCAAAGTGGGCCAGGCCCATTGAGTATCGATATGAGATTTATACAAAAATAACCCACATATAAACACTCTATATTATAATAATATCCACTAAAAAATATTTTATTTATATATTATAATTTGGAAAGTATTAAACTCTAAATAATTTATAACTGAAAAATTAATAAAAGAAATTAACGCACATTTTTTATTCATTAAAATAGTAATTAATAAAAAGGTTAAAAAAAATTACTTTTAATTTTTTTTTTCATTTTAGTCCCTCTATTTTAAAAATATCAATTTTTTACGCTAAATTATTTATTAAAAAAAAAGTAAGAATGGGTTGAATAATTAAACTAAAATTACGAGAAAACATAGTTTTATGTTGATATAATTAATATTATTATCGAGAATCAATTAGAGGTTAATTAAATGAATTATACCTTAAGCTTGTCGTAATAAGGCCAAAGCCACATAATTAATGCCACACTTGGTTGCCTCAAGAAATATATAAAATTAATCATAGATTAGGAAAGTAATTAAAATAGAATGAATTAATTATATATATATATATATATATATATATATATATATATATATATATGCTTTTGAAAGGGCACATGTGATGATGTGTAATATTGGAACATTGGAAATTGTGATTTTATTTTTCCATTTTCAGCCTCATTTCATAAATGGTATCCTATGCTTAACTATGGTTAATAGTTTGATTAACATGAAATATATCGGCGGTAAGAATTTACAGGTGTCGGGTAAAGTAAAAAAGACGCATTACCAATGGTTCTTCTCGTGCACAAAATGCACTGTGACTCGAGAGAACCTTTGCCGACCCACAAAATAACAGCCTTTGTCGACGTTGCACAAAATGACTGTCTCTCTCTTGCTAGTGCCCAACACAACATTAGGGTCATCCCCTTCAGTTATAAATCTAGTGATACGTGGAATACATCGTGTACACTAGAGAGTGAGGGTGATAGGACCGATCTATATGCTACTGGTCCAATTCGATCTAGGATTTTGACGGGTCCGATGAATTGAGGACTTAACTTGCCATTACGTTCGAATCTCAAGACATCTTTCATTGGAGCCACTCTCAAGAATATCATATCTCCTACTTCGAATTCCAAACTTCTACGTTTTACATCGGCTAGCTCTTTTGTACAACCTCAATAATAATTCAGACCAACTCGAATATATTTATGTATATATAATTCATATAAAGATTCTAATTGATTTATTTCGGGTTTTAGAAATGAAAGAAGATACGAAATGAGAAGTTATGGGGAAAGATTTCGTTCATGAACTATGAAAGAAAGTCGAGAGTAAGCATAATAGACCAGATGCATTGTAAAAGGCAACCCAACAAATAAACACATAATGGGACTCCATGCCGTTACCCAACACAAACACTACAACTTCTAAACAAACACATCATGTGCAAATCTTACAAATATTTTGTCCCATTTTCGTGTTCGATTTGACATTTTCGGGCTCTGTTTCGACCTACCCGCTTCTCTATTTGACTCGTTTAAGTTTCTAAACATTCAATTTCAAACAAACGAAAAAGTACGTATCAGTTATATCAATAACAGCTTATTACTCGATTTCCAGGTATTTGATAGTCGCTTAATATGGCTATATTTTTTTGGCATCAATTTCCATAAAAATCTGACAAAATGAGTGGTTTTTGAGTTCCAAAACCTGTCCACCGTCCAAAACACACGCATTGGGAACATAGTTTTAATACAATTATAGAACAAACATTAGAACATGATCATGTGAAACAAGACATAAATTTAATATACTCATTGATTTTGTTTTTCTATTACATGTATTACTCGATAAATGTCATGTTTGAAGAACAGAACAACAACAACATACGAAAATAAAAAATCGACCCAGAAAAATAATCTGTGGGCTTAATCTATGTATGTAAATACATCAAAACCTTTTCTTTTGTCAGTAATTTACGAAATCAAAACGGAAATTTCAGCAAAAGCTCCATAAACGAACATCGCTTTCTTCATAAAAATCATCCATAATTGGTGGATCAAATATAGTTCCATCCATCATTTGCCCAACGTACTTAGGGGACAATATATCATCAAAGTTGAACCAAGACGGCTCGGTCGTCATAAACGAATCATAATTCGACATTGTCGATTCAATGGAGGAAGAAGAAGAAGAAGAAGAAGAAGAGGAAGGCGGCGGCGACGACGACGACGGTGGGACATCGGTATATCTCGTAGTATCATCGATTTCAAAGGCGGTATTCGCAGCAGCTTCCGCAGCAAACCTTTGAATGAACTTAGGAGACATAACATTATGATCAGAGGAGAGATTATGAAAATGTGCAAACGACGAAGACGAGATCGGAAAATTGAGATTAGCGGAGGAGCCTTTGAGACAGAAGAGGGCAGCGTCGTAAGCTCGGGCAGCTGCCTCCGCAGTCGAATACGAACCTAACCAAATTCTCGTCTTTTGATTCGGAGCTCGGATTTCAGAAACCCATGAGCCCCAGCTTCTCATTCTAACACCCTTGTACTTCTTCTTGGTTGATGCAGCCATGGATTGATGGTGTTCATCAGCTGATTCCTTCTTCACCATGTTGATTAGGGCAATGGAGGAAGAGGAAAGGAAGAGGAGTGGTGTATTTATAGGGAAGGAGATTAATCATTTGGGGTTATAATAATGATTAAGCCTTTGATTATTCACTAAGATTCATAGGTTAATTTTTGTTTAGTGTGTAAATGGTTTGATTATTATTACGAATTTCGAGATGGGTGACAGATATTTTTCGGATTTAAAAAATATTATATACACACAGATTTGAACATTGATTGTTCGTCAATAGTGAAATGACGTTTTAGTCCTCGACATAAAAGTTTGATTTTCATTTGTGAGGTATTTCTTGGAGGGCAGTTACGTAATTTTATAACAATTTAATTTTTCTTGTAAATTTTTTAATCTAATGCCGAATGATTTAGACTTTATAGCTTGTAATGGCCTGATGTCATGGCCTGCGCTGACATTGTCTGTTTTAGCTTGTAATGGCCTGTGTCTCAGTCCTAGTGTGGCTGATCATCCTCTCGGACCAGCTACTGGTTATCGCCTTGGTAAGCTATTGTCTCACCAACTAGCTAATCAGACGCGAGCTCTTCCTTGGGCAGATTCCTCCTTTTGCTCCTTAGCGTACGGGTATTAGCAGCCGTTTCCAGCTGTTGTTCTCCTCGCAAGGGTAGGTTCTTATGCGTTTCAACCGATATAAGATCTCACAATCAGCCCTAAACTTTAAATTTTTGGATTGTAAGATCTTATATCGGTTGGAGAGGGGAACAAAACATATTTTTACAAAGGTGTGAAAACCTCTCCCTAGTGGACACATTTTGAAATCGTGAGGCTAGTGACGATACATAACAGATCAAAGCAGACAACATTTACTAGCCGTGGGCTTGTGCTTTATTTGTTCAGATCTATATATATATATATATATATATATGTTTGTATATGTTTTTTTTTTTAGGGTTAATAAATTAATGTAAGAAAAGGAGAGACAAAAAATGGGATGCTGTGGGTGGAGAGGCAGGTTCCAGGATGTTGCAGAGGTTTGAAGCTTTTAAGGTGTGTGCTACAAACAGACAGACAATGCTAAAAAACAAAACAAGAGAAACTGAAGTTGGGAGTCTGCTCAAAATCAAATAACAACAAACTAAAACAAAACAGCTATTGCTTCACTGGCTTGCCTTGCCTTGCCTTGCATAGCAAGCTCTTTTTCTCAACCGCGTTTTTTCATGTTCGGTGAAAACCCGAACCACCTCGAAACTTCTTCGAGTTTCTCTAATTTGTGTTTGGATCGGAAAATTAAATTACTTTACTATTAGTCATTTAGATTTGTACGTTTATGAGCGGTAAAAACCCGTATGAAATTGTAACAGTCCAAGCCCATCGTTAGTAGCTCATTACGTTTCGCTGCGTCTATTAGAGAGAGGTTTCCACACCCTTCTTATGAGAAATGATTCATTTCCCTCCCCAGCCAATGGAAGATCTCGCAATCTACCTCCCTTGGGGTCCCAACGTTTTAGTTAGCACACTGCCCGACGTCTAACTCTGATACCATTTATAACAACCCAAGCCCACCACTAGCAGACATTGTCCACTTTGATCCGTTACGTATCATCGTTAGCCTCACAGTTTTAAAACACGTTTACTGAGGATGAGTTTTCACACTCTTACAAGAAATGTTTCGTTCCTCTCTCGGGATATCGCAGGAATTAAGTTGCAAATCTTAATTAAACGTTACGTGCACATATTTTACTTCTATTAAAAATAAAAATTTGAATAAATGACTCATCAACCCAACCTAACCCAAAAATTTTATGGTTGAGTTGGATCTCGGTTGAATCTAAAAAATGTCTAAACTTAATCCAACTAAACCGAGGAACACTCCATATGTAAACGTGAATTATTTTTTACGAGTCAAGTTTATACCACTAATGAAACTCAAACAAACTTATATGACTCGAGATAACAGAGTTAAACACGTCTAACTCATACTAGATTACACGAGTCTAACTCCCGAGCAAAATACCCTTTTTCATATGACAATTTTACCCTCGAAACATAAAAGCTTATGAAATTAAAGTAACATATTTGTAACATGGGAAAAGAAAATAATGACATGTGAAACATGAAATGGACTTTGACAATACTATAATACAAATCAAATCTCCTAGAAGCTTCATATACATATACATATACATACATATATCTATATATATATATATATATATATATATATATTGAAGATAGACTACAGCTCTATCATATTTGACCATATGTCATTTAGTCTTTGATTATTTGTTTAATGAAGTTAATTATATGATTAAGACTTCTAATTAGAGCAGCTGTAATTAATATTATGTTCAACCATAGTATTGCCTTTCACATTGGGAAGAGAGTGGATAATATTTAATTAGAATTTGTTACAAAAATTCAATTCCAAGAAAAACGACGTCTTATAAAAATATTAAGATTAAGTCGAGTGTTTTTATTGCTTCAAATGGTGAAATGTTTTATTTGATTATTTGAAAAATATAATCATGAATGTTACGATCATGCTTGTTTGAGGCGTGTTGTCTATAGTCATATGTCGAACATCCCGATCATATTTGTCCATAACTTATTGTTCATGACTACATACTCGTTCCAAACCTTTTTCATATTAGATACGGTCTTTACTATTATTGTCGTGTCAATACAAGGGTATACGATTAATCATCAAAATCACGTCTATAAGGGATGTGATTAGTAGTTAATTCTTCCTATCTCGGTTATATACTATCAATTGCCTACGCGTTTTTAGCTTATAACGTTACCTTCTTCAAAACTGTTTTCAACATATTTCCTCGCTCACGTTTTCTAAAATATTTCTCTTAAATGTGACTTGAGGCTCGAGCATAAACCGATATTATCTATAAAGTGCAAATTTCACACAACTGAATTGTTCACATTTGTATTTTTAATCAATCGGTACAATCTCAAAATTTACAAATTTAATAAATAAATAAATAAAACTATTTTAAAACAAATAATTAATCAAAAATGTAAAATCTCCACACACAAAAAAAAATCTAAAATCATTTATTAATGTAGAATATATTTGAGTGATTATTATATATAATTCCAATTAATTAAAAAAAAAAGAAAAAAAAAAGAGAGATTCCTGAAGCCTCTCTTTGCTGAAACAAACCGTTTATTATATTTATATTTATATTTAATATTTATTTATTTATGTTTATTAAATGAGAGGCCCAATCAGGTGCCTGACACTATGATTATGCACCTTAATTAATTACACTAATTATGATGTTTTTTTGTTAATAAATTAAACTCACATGCTTTTATTTTATTTTATTTTATTTATTTATTTATTTTTGTAAATGGAAAAATGTCAGAAAAGTGTTCATCTTGCTTTTGTGAAATTGTAAGGCAATTTCATTCACAAAAGTTGATGGATTCAATCTCATCAACAACTTTACCTTTTATATGTCACATTTAATTCAAAAATAAATTAATTTTTTACATTTTTTTTCTCCTAAAATTCAATAATTATTAGCTCGATCGGGATAATAATGGTACTTTTGACAAAAGAAAAAATCATTGGATAGTAATAATGAAATTTTGAAATATAGAAAATCAAACTGAAATGACTGGTCATTCATGTATTGGAATTCAATAAATAAATGTACTATGTGTTAATTACGAGTAATTATAAGTTTAGTCTTTAGTTTCAAAAATTTTAATTTTGTATCAGGTAGATCTAACTTTCGAATTTGTATCTAATACATTCTAAACATATCCAAACAAAAAAAAGTGGGTTGGAGAGATGCGTTTAAAAAATTCGTTAAGTTGACGACAATACATAACGGGCCAAAACGAACAATATCTACTAGTGGTAGGTTTGAGTTATTACAAATAGTATCAGAGCCAAACACCGGGCGGAGTGCCAACGATGACATTGATCCCCAATGGGGGTGGATTGTGAGATCTCACATCGGTTGGAAAGGGGAGCGATATTCCTTATGAGGGTGTGGAAACCTCTCCACTGTGAGAATGGAGGTGATACATAATGGGTCAAAGTGGACAATATCTATAAATAGTGGGTTTGGGTCGTTATAGATGGAACAGATTGGAGAGTCGAATTAGATATCAATTTCAAATTTATTTTAGTTGCCTGGGACCCTAAGCTTTCCAAACCCACCAAAATCAATGATAATCCGATTGGAAGGCGATTTAAGGAAGATGCAATGGTTCTTCCCATAGTTCCAAATCTCCATCTCTATCCCTTTTATCCTCTTGGTTTCAGCTGGCAATGGAGCAGCTTCCGTACGCTGCATATAAACAAGAACACAGAGATCCATGAATTTTTGTTGGTGTGGTGTGGAAGAAGATGAAGTGAAAGAGGCACATGGCGTATAAGACCAATGTTTTGTTTGTTTTCTGAGAAAATAATGTTAAATAGAGAAAAGGGTTTGGATTTGGATTTGGATTTGGATTAGGCTTATAGGAGGATGGGCGAACCTGCAGCGATGGTTCTCAAAGGTGGAGAGATGTTGGAAGATGAAGAGGCAACATCCCAAGTGCTTTTGTTGCCCATTTTCAACTACAGAATCGAATCGAATCATAACCCAAATCGTCTCTTGTCGACCCTTTTCTCAACATTTTGTATGAACCGGTTTTATTCGGTTTTAGCTATCGAGTTTGTGGGAAGGTGTTTAAAAACTATGCACGGGTGTGGTGACTCTTGATACGTAAGTGTGGTAAGCTAAGTTTAGAAAAACGAGCTTTGAGTTGCTCGGAGCGTGCATAGTCTATGAGAGTTGACCTACGGTTTTCCTTTCTTTCTTCTTTAGAAAACGTAAATTTGAGCTTTGCTAATGGTTTATTAGATCGTGGGCATGCAAAATACATGCCCGGATCGACTCTATTATTAGTTTGAGATAGCCCATGGACCATTTAAGAAGACACGTTCTCTGTATCGGTTGGAGAGAGGAAAGAAACATTCTTTATAGGAAAGGATGTGGAAACCTCTCCCTAGTAAACACATTTTAAAAAGTCAGGACTAAAAAGCCCAAAAGAGACAATATCTGCTAACCGTTACAATTTCTTCTTCTTCTTCTTCTTCCTTTTCAAGTCTCAAATTTTAAGGTTGTTTCTTCGTTTGCTTTGTTGTTCATTTCTAGTTGGTCAACAATTGCGCAACATTTACTTGAAAGAACGGATAACGGGATCAAGAATGACTCGAGAACAAGGGTTTAAACAAGCAAAACAGCTCAACATCAACTCAAACAGCCAACAGTTCATCATTTGTGGATTCCTAGGTTGCTCCAAAAAATGGATAAAAAATCATCATCAACCTCCTTTAACTACAATTCTCCATTGTCACGGAGCTTCTCACAAGCTCTGCTGCAAAACCCTTCTGCTTCATCCTCAGAGCCAACCGTTGAAGCCCACCGGAGCTCTGAGGTTCATGCAAGTACGTAGAACTTATTGGCTACTAGCATTGCAATACTATAGACGTCTCATTGTTGACCTTTTAACATTGAGACCCTCTAAATAGAATCTCGACGTCAGAACTATAAGAGCCAATCTAAGCATGGTAATTCGATTCTTCGTTTATGCTCAAGCTAGCCCCTCAAATTGTCCTAGTATGTCGAGCCCCTCAAATTGTCCTAGTATGTCGAGTAAGGTGTACGATGCATGACTTCTATTTCGAGTAATATACATTTCATTGTCGATAGCTAAATAACTTCTTAGAATTCAAGAACGCATTTATACAACCTATAGAATATATCTCGTTATTTGATACCCATTTAATTTAGGAAGGATGCGCTTAGAGGAGACAATCTCAATATACTACAAAAGATCATTTTTTGTTTACTATTTACCCTATTCGAATCTCATGAAAAGGTAATAAAACGAAAGAGAATGTTTACAAGTGAATTGTGACGTTGTGTGGAAAAGAGAACTTCAGTACTTACAATAGCAGTGTTCATCCATGGGAGCACTTACTGGGATGCATCCGCTACAAAGGAACTCAAGGCACTGATTATGGACTCATAAATCTTTATGCCCCTTAAGAAGACGGTGTCCTTCAAGAACTGCAACAAGGTACGAGGAAAGGAGATGACCGATTAATACGAACATAACGCAAATCGAGCAAGAACATGGATAAAAAAGAGAGACACAATGGAGTCTAGTATAACCTCGTTGTGTTCGTGCAATAAGATAGGAGTGTTACTCATTGGGGAGAAACCAAGAACAGGAATGCCTAACTGTCTCATGAAGCGTGCATCAGTCGTCGAAGCCAAGATTTCGGGCCTAGAAAGCTTACCTCCAGCGTCTGAGATGGCTGTCTTGAAAACAGACCACCACGGATTCGAATCGTTAGTCATCGTCAATAATGGACGTCCCAAATAGTCTCTTATGGGTCCTTTCTCAATAATCTGCAGGTATCAGATCCATTATGTTTAAGCTATCAGACATTGCTAAGATAACGTACAAATAGATAGTGTGTAATTCGTAAGAGACTGCTATATGATGCAAATACTTGAATATCTAATTGCTAAAGGCTAGACATGCACAAAACAAGCATTCAATCTTGGGTACGTAGAGCAGAAGTGGCCCAAATCCTTGTCCTCTTTGGGCTTTCCCTTTCGGTTTCCTCTCAAGATTTTAAGACGAAAACGCGTCTGTTAGGGAGAGGTTTTCACACCCTTATAAAGAATGCTTCGTTCCCCCTCCAGCTGATGTGGGATCTTACAGTCCACCCCCTTCGAGGCCCAACATCCTTGCTGGCACACTGCCTCGTGTCCACCCCTTTCGGGACTCAGCCTCTGCATTGGCACATCGCCTAATGTCAGGCTCTAATACCATTTGTAACGGCCCAAAGCCACCGTTAACAAATATTGTCCTCTTTGGGCTTTACCTTTCGAGTTTCTCCTCGAGGTTTTCAAAACGTATCGGCTAGAGAGAGATTTCCACACCCTTATAAAGAATGTTTCGTTCCCCTCTCCAATCGATATTAGATCTCACAAGAAATGAGAAAATCTAATCAATTCCTCCCATGACATGGGAAAATTCGCATGCCATTGCCCGGTGCATTTTGTTGTGGATGGAGTAGACGAGTTTCATAATATAACATATAGAACAAACAAAGACATCCTCCATCAGAATTCAAATTCTTTCCACATCAAAATTGGTTTAAGATCATAATCTTACAGATTTACTCTGTTTTCAGCAAGATAAAATGACAAGTCATATGAGGACTTCTCCAAGCTTTTTTCTTTAGATTGCAGAACCATAAGCAAGCCATGAACAAGAACAGAATACTAATGATGAGAGCTAATAAAACAGGAACCAGATGGTGTTGGGAATCAAATCAGGCAGCTAGCCACTTACCTGAGACGTCAAGTTCCGTCGAGCTGGAGCCCATTCCTCCCTAATTCTTCTTCTAATGGCATCTGGGTCGGCGGTCGGCGGTATTCTGAGATCGAAACCGGCTTCCGCCTCCGAAGGTTGCATGTTCATCACAAATCCCTGAGACAAATCACAATATTAATGGCGAAAAGAGACATAGGCAGATGGGCTTAAACCCTGCAACTCATTTCGCAAGGACTACTCACAGTGGGGGAGGGAATTCCGGCGTTGACGAAAACAGGATTGACAGAGATGACTTCTGAATTAGCAGCTTCACCGGCCTTCACCATATCGAATTGGCTCTCTCTAAACTTACTGATAATCTCAACGCTCTTCATCAAATTCTCCATAGCACTGTTATCGTACATTCTAGAACCATGTCCAGGGGTTCCTTCAGCCCGAATTTTCAGCCCCCACGGCGATCTATCGGCGTAAAAAACCCTAAACTCATCTCCCGGCGACGCCTGTCCTTCGTCCATCATGAATCCAACATTCAACTCCTTAAACTCCTTCGACAAGACGAACTTCGCAGCTCCATCAAAACCCCCAATCTCCTCATCCGGCACATACGAGATGTGAATCGTACGGTCAGGGATGAAATTCCGACTTCGGAGGCTCCGAATGGCTTCGAGATACTGGATAGCTATACATTTATCATCTTGAGAACCACGGGCGAAGATCTTGCCATCGGAGGTCCGGACGGCGGAGAACGGCGGATAGAGCCATTTAGAGGGCTCAGCGGGGACAGAGTCCATGTGAGAGTTGAGTAAAATCGAGGGCAAAGAAGGATTCAATCCATTCCAGGTCACGAGGAGAAGAGGTTTACCTGGAACAAACTCAAGAATCTTCGTATGGAGACCAATTTCCAGTGCTTGAGATTCGAGAAAGGAGACAGCGGAGGCGTAATCCGGATCCGGATGAGCGGTTTTGATTCTGAGGTAGTGTTGAAAGCGAGAGATTGGAGAGTTTTGATCGGATTCGTCATCATCGTACTGCGAATGACTGAAAGAGAGAGGAAATGAGAAGAGAAAAAGAAAAACTGCAAGAGAAAAGAGCCGACAGTGGAGACGGAAGTTCGCCATGGGCGCCTCCGTTGGTGCCGCGGTCAAGCAGTTGAGCAAGTCGGAACTTCTGAAGTTGAGTAAGCCGGAGAGCTGCCGAATGGTGAAGACAACCGCCGATGAATGGATTGTCAAAACTTAGCTTTTTGCCTCTTCAACTCGCCGGCGACAGAAGACCGGTGCTGCTCCGGTACATAATTATTTACACTATATTAAAATAAAACTTGGCTGGTATACTTATGATAGGCAAATTTTCACGCAGCAACGTGGGCTTCAATTTGAATGGGACCAACCATTAGGATTTGGGCTTACCATTTCGCATTTGGGCTTTTTTAAGCTAGGCCCAAATATTGCCTGGCCCAAACCGGCCTACTTAAATTTAATTATTTGATCAAATGATCATAAGTGATCTTATAATTTAAGATTTTTCAATTTTTAATCTGTTTAAATGGAATAATTTGTAATTTTGTCGTTAATTTATAAATGGTGACGTGATAATTTATGACTATCCATAAATTTTATTTTAATATAGTGAGGACGGTGTCGATAGATTCTAGTGGAAATTGAATTCATGCGTGATATGAAGGATTGATGAACATGTTCATAAGGATTAGAACCCTCTACACCCACGTGAATGTAACCATACCTTGATGGTCAGTAACGACCATGTAGTATATTGGAGAGGAGAAATGGACATAAAGGACACCGGGTGATGTGCCAGGGGTGAATTGTGAGATCCCACATCGATTGGAGAGGGGAACGAAGCATTCTTCATAAGGGTGTGGAAATCTCTCTCTAGTATATGTGTTTTAAAAACCTTGAGGGGAAGTCTGACACGAAAAACTCAAAGAGAACAATATCTGCTTGTAGAGAGTTTGGTCAGAGCTAGACACTGGGCGATGTGCCAACGAGGAGGCTAAGCCCTGACCCAAAGGGGGTGGACACAAGGCGGTGTGCCAACAAAGACGTTGTGCTCCGAAAAGGGGTGGATTGAGAGTCTCACATCGATTAGAGAAGGGGATGAGTGTCAGCGAGAACACTAAGTCTTGAAAAGGGTGGATTGTAGATCTCACATCAGTCGGGGAAGAAAACAAAGCATTCTTTATAAGGGTGTGAAACCTCTCCTTAACTGTTCTTTAGTGTGTGTATATATATATATATATATATAAAAGCTGAGATATTGTTTATGTATGAACTGTTGAGCTTTCTTTTTGTTATTTGTTGTCTCCAAAATGCATGCTGAATGTGAAGCCAACTAAATATTATTTTTATGATTTTTTAAGCATATTCTAAGTATGATTACTCATAATTTAATTCAATCACATCAACGTCAAAGTTTATTGAGATAAATAGAATTTAAACACTTTTAATAAATTTTAATTTTCAAATAATTTAATATGTTTTTCAACTTTTTAATTTTTTTTCATTTATAATATATTTTGTAAAGTTAATATATTTTATAAAGGTGAGAGATATATAGAATATAAAATTAATTTATAATTTAAATGAGAGAAATTTAATTATTCGATATAAACTTATCATGCTATCAATCATTTTTCAGTAGTATGACTTGATAATCTGATCAACCTGGACTATTCAATCCATACTGTAAAGATTGATATGTTTTTGGTCGGGTGAATCCAACCAACCCAAAAAGCCCACTAATGCTCCGTCAAGGATTGTTAGGTTTAAGCATTTTAGGGTCGATTCCTGGTCCAATTGAGCTGAAATTCTAAGCACATATTTTTTTTACACGAGGGTCTTTGATATGAACAATGGAGATTTCTTTTGAAGTTATCTACCATCAGTTTGCAGCAAATAGTTGAATTTCACTTTACGTGAGATCAGTTTGTAACAACCCAAGTCCACCACTATCAGATATTGTCTGTTTTGGCCCGTTACATATCGTTGTCAACCTCACGATTTTAGAACACGTCTACTATGAGGAGGGTCTAGTCCTACTCCGACAGTGCCTCACACCATCCGATGGCTGGCTCTGTTACCATTTGTAACAGCCCAAGTCCACTATTAACAAATATTGTCCCGCTACGTATCATCGTCAACCTCACGGTTTTAAAACGCGTCTAGTAGGGCGAGACTCTAGCCTTACTTTAACCAGTGTCTTGCACCATCTAGTGACTGACTCTGACACGATTTGTAACAACCCAAGCTCACCACTAGTAGATATTGTTCACTTTAGCCCACTACATATCATCGTCAGCCTCACGATTTTAAAACTCGTCTACTAGGGAGAGGTTTCCACACCCTTATAAGAAGTAGTGGAATCTCACGTGCCTTATTCTTCTCTTTCAATACTGTCGTATGTTACTCATTGTAAACCTCGTAGCGTTTTACTCGCTTCAAAGAGAATTTTTCACATTAAAATTACCGATATCCTACGCTCGTAATATCCGATTAAGCTCGTAGAAGAGAATAACTAGTGATTTAAAAATTTAGGGTTTATCTAGATGAGATGAAAGTCTAATGGAATTCCACTAGCAAAAACAAAGAAAGGGAAGAGCACTTATATCATCTTTTATTTTGGCCATTACCTTTATTATAATCATTTGGCTACTTGGGACTCATAAATCAAATCACCATATAATATACATCTCTACTTTCTTCACACCATTATTGCCTTCAAAGTGCCAAACCCTATATCCATTGCTACCCACTCAAATATATTTTGTTTTCTTCTTTTTCCATATTATAAAAAACGTCCGAATTTAATACTACTTTAAATCTAAAGTTTGAGTCGTGGACGTATATCGACTCGTTCGTATTCTTATCTAATAGACCTAAGATAAGCATAAAATTTTCGTTTGTATTCTGATTAACTTTGTTCTCCCGAGCCCTCGTGTCAATAATTTTTTAAAAAACTGAAATAATGTTTTAGTTTTTATGTTTTTAGGATTAGTTTGAAGTTCATTTTTTTAAATAATTTGGTAAAATGAACGATTTCTATTCAATAAATGATACAATGTGAGAATATTTTCAAATTTTATCTACCTCGAGGCCAGCGAGTAATCCACTCTTGGTGAGTGACTCAATACTACTGTAATAACTCAAGACTACAACTAATAGATATTGTTCACCTTAGCTCGTTATGTATCACTGTGAGTCTCATGATTTTAAAACGTGTTTGATAGGAAGAGGGAAACGAACTATTTTTTATAAGCGTTTGCAAACCTCTCCCTACCCTTCGTATCAAATACGTTTTAAAATTGTGAGTCTGACGACCATACATAATGAACTAAAACGGATAATATCTGTCTATAAACTACTGATCAAATCAGGAGAGAAAAAGGGTCATAAAAGGGCACAAATCTTGAGAAAAAGACACTAAAAAAAAGAGAAGAAAATATGCATGACAATGAAATGGATAGAAAAGTTAGAAACGATAATGGTGCAATAAACCCATATCTCTATTACCACCCTTACATTTCAAACTTTTTTAAAACAAATTTCAGTGTTTTTGTTTTTTCATATCCTTTTGGTTAGACCCGAAACAAATGGGTCGATCTCGATCTTTAAGAATTATTAGACACAAAATTAAAAGTATAAAGTTGAATCAGACATAAAATTTAAATTTATTATAACAGAATAATTACTTTTTAAAATAAAAAATAAAAAATATCAACAATTTATCAAATACAATCTCAAAAATTCGAAAAAGCAATTTTTTGTTATTAATATTCGTGGTAGGGACTAAATTATAAAAAAGAGATATAAAATAGGAATTTATTGAATTTTACAACATATATACTAAATATATTTATGCTTTTAACTTTAGTTAAATCAAACACGACCAAGGTTATTCAACAAATTGTTTGGTAAAAGATTCCTTATTCTAAGCCAAATATATATTTAAACAAAAAAAAAAAAAAAGTGATGTTCCGTTGGGTTGAGTTATGATATTTTTTAGATCTAGCTCCATTGCTGATTAAGGATGTTTAGGTTATTTATTCAAATTTTTATTTTTAATAAAAGTAAAATGTTAATAGGTAAAACGTCTGTATATTTATTTTTAAATATTGAACTCATGAACTATTGTACACGTTAGTTGGGTTAATCAAATTTGACAGGTGTTCAAGTTTTTTGAGTATATGTAGTATTTTTTTTTTTTAGATGTGAATAGAAGTATATTCTCGCCCGGTCTTGTTTTGGTATATGTCCTTACTTGCATATATTCTTATACGCCGACTTCTAAACATAAACGAGACGTTTTACTCGATTTCGTAAAAAAAGTTGAAATCTTTTCCCCCCACGAAGTTGTTCCTATATAAAGGTATGCGACTCCCATGAAGTTTCTCATAAGCTCTTCATTTGATCATCACTTGTCACCAAGCAAAAGCTTATGATGGGTATGAATTCTAACTTTATGAGTAAGTTGAAGCCTTACATTCTAGTGGTGTGCTTACAATTTGGAATGGCTGGCATATATGTTATATCCATGGCTACTCTTAACGGCGGCATGAGCCGCTATGTTTTGATCGTCTACCGAAACGTTGTCGCCGCTCTCTTCCTCGCTCCCTTTGCACTAATCTTCGAAAGGTTTGATCTTGAGTTTTATAAATTCTTCGAGGTTTCGGACATGTTTGATCAACAACGATGATACTTTCCTTGCAGGAAAACAAGGCCAAAGATGACACTCCCAGTCGCTATGCAAATCATGGTCTTGGGATTTCTTGAGTACGAAATTTAGTTTTGTGATTTGTAAATATTGACGTATTAAAAATTTAAGAACTAAATTGACATGGGTTTATTGTGATTTTTAGACCGGTTCTTGATCAGGGGTTCGGTTATTTGGGGATGTCGTACACGTCCGCGTCGTTTACTTCGGCTATCATGAACGCTGTGCCGTCTATTACCTTCAGCATTGCTGTGGTTTTTCGGTAATTATTTATATTTTTTTGGTGTGAAATTGTAATTAGTGAAGAGTTATGGGACTTGAGATTGTGTTGTTTTTTTAATGGTTTAGAATGGAGCGAGTCAATTTGAAACGAGTGCGAGGGGTTGCTAAGGTCATTGGAACCTTGGTGACCTTCGCCGGAGCTTTGGTTATGACGCTTTACAAAGGCCCAATAGTGGATTTCTTTTGGACTCGGAAAACCAACCACCTTGTTCATAGTGCCTCCGCCGCTTCCTCCGCCGCCAATCAGCACTGGGTGGCAGGAACTCTGTTCATCCTTCTCGCTTGTGTGGCTTGGTCT